GACACTTACTTTTATTCTTTATGCACTATTTTATTTTATTTTTTTACCATGATGACATATAACTTTTGAATCTTAAAAGTAAAACAATTAAAAAAGGCCAAGCAATGTGTGTGGGAACCCAGAGATACACAAAGAAAAATTCTGGTGGGCAGCACAGGTTAGAAAGCGAAGAAGGCAGCTCAGGAAAGTCCCTTTGTGCTGCTGAATGCCTCCCGGGGGAGGGCTGCCAAGTGGTGCAAAGGTGGTCCCTGCCCTTGTTACTGTGCCTGGTTTGAACCATTCATTTATTTAGTTGGTCAGAGAGCAAACAAATTGAATGCTCGGCACAGTGGAATCAGGGGTGAATCCAGCTTATCGGGCTGAGAGATACCAGGAGAAGAGGGAGAAGAGAGGAGATGGGGGAAGCTTAGAGGAAAGGGGAAAGCAAGGGAAGAGAGTGCGTCTTTAAGAGGGAGTTTCAGCACAGTTGCTGAAAGGTGGAGGGAGAGGAAGACAGAGGAGTGGCCATTGGCATGGGAGGAATTGAAAGGTTGCTAGAGACATCAGCCTGGACAGAGCAGAGGGGACTGAAGCCAGTGGGTGGGAGGGATCGGAAAAGGGGGAGACCTCCCAGGCGGTCCCAGGTTCCCTGTGACCTACTCTGAGGCTGTTGAGGCAGGATGGAGGGGCCAAAAGTGATGGCAAGTATTCATTGGCCTGCCCTTCCCAAGGACAGGAAGCGGGCCAGGGAGCCTCCATAAGAACTGCTCCTCACTAAGACCGCTTGGTTTGAGTTGGCCCACTCCTAGTATCAGAGCAATGGAGGCCCCCAGACTGTTCCAGGTCTCCTGTCACACACATCTCCCTTGTGCACCACTGGGGACCTTGCATGCGTGTAGACCAGTGGTTCTCAACCTTCCTAATGCCGCGACCCTTTAATACAGTTCCTCATGTTGTGGTGACCCCCAACCATAAAATTATTTTCGTTGCTACTTCATAACTGTAATTTTGCTACCGTTATGAATCGTAATGTAAATATCTGATATGCAGGATGTATTTTCATTGTTTGCAACCCACAGGTTGAGAACCGCTGGTGTAGACAATTGGACAACCAGCCCATTTAGCCAAGCTTCCTCCACCTCCCACCAAAGCTACCCTTAGTGCCAACACCAGTGAGCAATGGGAGGAGGGACTTAAAGAGGTCTGCACAGGCCCTGTCAATGGCTCAGGACGTTTAGGCAAATAATTTTGGGGCAAGTTACCTTGGCCTAGCGGTCTCCTCACTCCATAGAGAAGGATGCAACTGAAGGAAAGCCAGAGCAGGGGCCTCTCTCAGGTACATCATCAGCAGGGGCCCTAGATTGCCAGCCCTGAGGACGAAATACTGGAAGGGACCCACGAGGGAGGTACGCCCAACCAAGAGAAGCGGAAGTGGGCCAGGTCTGTGGGCAAACATCCTGGGCTCATCTCAGGAAGTGGGTTTCAGGCTGTAAGGCACACAGACGCACCCCGGGAGTAAAAGCAGCTAGTTGTATCGCCCGTGAGCAGAAGCCACGCTGTGCCAATGATGACAGTCCATGTGATGTCAAACTGCTGCCCTGGACAGGAGCAGCCCTCTTCCCGAACATCTCATTGAACAGATCATACAGGGATCCACCTGGTCGCACACACAGGATATGAGGGAGTCATTCCTGACCCCTCTTCTCTCTCACTCCCAGTATCCATCAACAAGTCTGGTCCATTCTACCTTTTAGGTCCATCTCTCATCAGTTCCACTCCTGAACTTCTCTCATGTCCCCCCGTGTGCAGTGTTCTCTCCCAACTTTTGCGCAATGGGGACCTTCTGCAGGGACTGTCCTTTTTCCTTCTCTCCTGGCTTACTCATCCTTATTTTTTCTTTTCACTTAAAAAATTGAAGTAGAATTTATAGACAGTAAAATGTACCCTTTAGAGTGTACAGATAGAGAGGAAGGAAGAAAACTCAGAAGAGCTGGCAGCTGGAGGTTTGAGGTCCGCGAGGTTTGACAAATCCATAGTTTTGTAACCACTACCAGACAAGACAGAAGATTTCATCACCCCCAAGAAATTCCCTCGTGCTCCTTTGGAGCCCATTCTAATTCTCACCACCAGCACCTGACAACCACTGACCTATTTTCTGTTTGCATTTTCCACGGTGTATAGATGGAATCATTCCGTAGCATAGCCTGTTGGAATGCGGTTGTTTTTTACCCAGCATGATGCATTTTGTGGATGAAAAGGGGCCACATGCTAACCTGACTAGCTCAGGGAAGGTCTGTGTGGTGGCCTTGCAAGCTCAGAGACCTAAAGTAACCACAAAGGATGGTCTGAAATTAAAATTTTTAAAATTAAAAAGCAGTTTATAGTGGGTAGTCACGTCCTAGGCCGGTATCTTCCCTGACAAAGATCAACTTTGATCTTAGCTGAGCCTGTTGTCTTTTTGCATCTCCGATAACATACCTTGAGAATGTCAGGGTAACTTGTACCTTCCCTCAGGGCACAAGCAATGCACCAGGGCGAAACCACAAGTTTCCTCATTGTTACTGTTATCATGACGACTGTTAACTATCATATGTAAAAGAAGCATGTGTCTATCATTTTACTTTTTATCCAATCCCAGAGCCCCCCAACTTCTGCCCTTTGCTTTCTCCCACCTCCCTAATCTATCCCCAGTGGATTTCATGTAACCCTCTTACATCTTCTCCTTTGATGATATTTTATAAGAGTAGGTAAAAAAACAAACAAAACCAAACCCCAGCTATTCTCTGGAACATTGTCTCAATACATGGAGATTCTGTTTCCTAGCAGGCAATGGTCAACAGTTTGGCTCAAATAAACTCACAAAAATCCTCTACAGGTTTGAATGTTTCTTAGGTTAGCAATTTGATAATTCATCTATGCTGTTGTGTATCAATAATCTGTTTCCTCTTTATTGTTGAGATTATTCTAATATATAGATAGATGTACCAGTTTATTCTTTCACCAGTGGATGGGACATTTGGGTTTTTTCCAGTTTTTGGAGGATATGAATAAAGCTGCCTTAAACATTTGTATGTGGGATTATGTGTGCCCATGAGTTTTTATTTCACTTGGGGAGATACCTAAGCGAAGGGCTGCCGTGTGGGTAACTTTATAAGAAACTGCGGGACTGTTTTCCCAGAGCTGCCAGGCTGGTTTGCATTCCCATTGCAATAGGTGAGAACTCGCGTTGCTTCGCATCTCACCCGCACTAGGTTGGTTGGTTCATTTGTTTTTATTGATTTGTCGATTGATTGACTGACTTCATAGTCTACTGAAGTGTGTGGTGCTTTCACATTGTGCTTTTAATTTCCACTGCCTTGATGACTAACGGTGAGTCTACTCATTCTTTTAAATCTCTGCTTGGTCTTCACTTCTTCCAAACACCACTGTTCACACTCACTTTATAGACCGATTAAGCTCCTGTCCTTTGTGGTTCCATGACCACCAACATTTTTCTCCAGCTTGGCCTTAACCCGCTAAACTGTCATTGTGTTTCTGTTCCCACCTTGTTCACCACCCTGGTGTGTGTCTCTCTCTCCTGGTCTCTCTCTCTCTCTCTCTCTCTCTCACACACACACACACACACACACACACACAGTGAGCTACTGAGGACAGAAGCAGCATCGTTCTAACTTTGGTATCTCCAGCTCCCGGCACAGACCTGAAACAGAATCTTATACAGTAAATATTAAAAGAGCTAAGTGTGAGCGCCTGCCGGCTGCCAAGCGCTGTTCCAGGCACCGGGATGCAGCTGGGAAAGAGCCAAGTCCCTGTCACCTTTTCCCCACGTTCCAGGAACACTCAACATACAATTATACAAATACATACTACACACAGAAGGCCTAAACCTGTAACACCTACCTTCATGTCTCTGCACACACACACATTATACAGTATACAGGCAGACCTCGGAGATACTGCGGGCTTGGTTCCAGATCACCGCAATAAAGCCAGTGGTAATCTTTTTGCTGGTGGAAGGTCTTGCCTTCAATTAGTAGAAAAACACTCCATCCCAGCTTCAGGAGTCGGCCCCGCCGCTTCTCGCTGCCCACGCTCCCACAGCTGCCGGAGCCGCAACTGCTGCGCCTGCGCCCCACCTCCCTGCGCACCCAGGACATCTCGCACCTGCTCACCGGCGTCTTCCGGAATCTGTACACGGCCGAGGTGTTCGGCGACGACGTGAGCACAAATCTGATCAAGGCCCGCGGCAGCGAGGATGACGTCCACGAGGAGTTCGTGGATGAGCTGCAGCAGGTAACACGGGGCCCCGGCCCTGCGCTCCCGCTCGCTCCCTACTGGTGGGGCCCGTCGCA